ACAAGAACAGCTGCGTCCAAACCTTGTTCAAGAGGGCGGAGACACACTGCGTCGTGTTGATCCGATTGATGATGTTTGAAGTTGGGTCATGATCGATTGGTTTGTAGGTCGTGGTGTCATTTAGCAGTTGTTTGGACTTTTCAATGTAATGGGGACATAGGACAACGGAGCAACCAATGGAATCGCCCGACCGAACAACCAGTCGCGATCAAAGGTCATCCTCTGCTAGCAGCAAGTATATTAGCACACGCACAACACTACCCAACGCACAACACCAACCCACCGCTACGCACTCCTACGCTCCACAATAACGCACTGATGATGTCACCTCGGTTGGTGATGAAACGTTTGCAATCAAATTGCCCAGCTCAACGAACAAGCAAACGAACACCTCCTACGGTTTCCCGGCTTCCTGGATTCCTGCCACTCATCATAATCGCAATAGGTGTTGAAAATAGCCATTGGCGAGCTCGTTGTTACTCAGTCTTAGATGACCTTTAATTAGTTATTTTACACTGGCTCTGGAAGTAAATGCCGGTGAAAGCTTCCAACATCCGATGCATATTTCCTTTAACTATCCCGCGAAAATTGGCTAGACCTGTGCTGGCCAAACGTTCTGTGGAAATATTTACAGAGTTGGCCGAATACAGACATCTTTAGTAGGCTCTTGAGTTCGTGTTGACAAAGCGTCTTGAACTCCCACTGATGGATTCACGTGGAACAATATTACTTCAATAATTTCAGTGCAATGGTCTATTAGGAAGCAGGGATCTATGAACATGGCAAGAGCTTTAGAGCTCCAGAAGTTATTGCTATCACTGATTGGTCAGTGAGTCTTTTGAGGTGCGGTTGGAAAGTAGCTTCTGGTGTAAACATGGAACAGGGTACCGGCCAGTCTTGCCACCAGAATGCCGACCCGTGAGTTTGACTTGTCAATATGGATCCATGTCTGAGCTCATGTTCAAGATTCGCACCCCCTGATTGAAGCACAAAAAAAATACACACACACAGTCGTTGCAGTCGGTTTGGTATATCACATTGTTCTTCTTGGCTTTGTCTAGAGATTAGTTTCCTCAGGGTCGTATTCGGCTTGTGGGCCACGAAGATTCATTTTTGAGCCAATAATCTGGTCGCAAGTTCTGATATATTCTTGATGTAAAGCAGGACTAACCGTCTGGTGGCTTGTTCTTGGCTGTTGTTGAGATGTCTTCCTCTTCAAGCTTCTCTTGATAAAACTCCTTGGATATCCATTCTTCTGGAACACTCTGTATAGATAGTTTTCTTCCTTCTTCCGCAGTTCTGTGGTGCTGCAGTGTGTCTCCGCCCTCTTGAACAAGGTTTGGACGCAGCTCTTCTTTGTGGTTTATGGATAATTGCTGCTGTATTTCAGTATTTGGTCCGACTGCAACAAATTCTGCCTTGGACAAACTGGGAGAAAATTATGTACACTAATAAAGGAACACAACGTGGCTATCAGGAGGCATGACCCCCTGTCCTTGATATCAATACCTGAGGACCAAGAAGGCCACAAATTCAATCTGGAAAACGCAAAAAATTTGGCATACGGAGGCACGCGACACGGAAGAGAATTTCGGAAGGCATGGTACTCTACGGCAGGTTCAATCAACCGGTGCATCGAACTGGATCCAATTTACGCACCTCTACGTGCGAGAGATCAACATCGCAACCGAAGCACTCAAGGAGGACCGAATAATAGATTAACAAACGAAGAAACAAGGAACACCTCGGAGTCAAATCAATAAAGGTCACAACGGAACTCGGAAGGACAAAGGTCACTCCAACACCGACCAGACTACGACGGCGATGGATGCCAATTTCAAAGGTCACGTGTGCATCGGCGGATGAGGACACGGGATAAAAGAACAACCAGGGGAAACGGCCGACAGAATAACTAATCGCGGTCAAAGGTTATCCCCGGGTACCAGCACGTATGTCAACACACACGTAACACTACTGAACGCACAACCACTAACCCACCGCTACACACAACTACGCACTGATGATGCCACCTCGATTGGTGATGAAGCGTTTGCAACCAAATTGCCCAGCTCAGCGAACAAGCCAACGACCATCTACGCTACCTGAGCTACCGACGTTCTCCTCTATAGAAAATGTTAAGTTTAAATAAATGCTTCCAACATTCCGCACAAAATGGTCAACACGCTGGGACTGGGAAAAATATTTTTCAAGGATATCCAATACATAAAAAGGCCTCTTAAAAACCACATCTGTTACAGAAATCATCAGGTGAAATTCCGAATCCCAAAAGTGTTAGTGGTTTCTAGCAGATTCCGTAACTAATCAGCACATTAGTCAAGATTTCTGGGGGACCAAGTTAACCCCCATTGGTCATAGAGGCCGTTGCGAAGAGGCAAAAAATATGGCTCTGGAAGTGCATTCTAGCTGCATGTAACAATGAAATGAAACGGAAATACAGCATGTCTGAGTAAACAAGTTTGGTTGTGAACACCAAAAGGCGACGAGGAGCTGAAAAAGGAAGGGCCGGAATTCTGGAACTCAACCCTGTTTTCGTTTATATGCTTTAACGATAACATGGGCTTGCCAACACGTCTGTCTTCAGAATGAAATCAGAGGATCACTATTAATAGTTTGTCTTAATCTCGTGCAGATTGTCAATGGACGAGTGCATGAAGGTCAAGCATAACTGTAAGAATTATAACCACTCTGACTTATCAGACATCAAGTGTAACTGCCCTCGGAGCCAGAATCGGTTAGCCGTGAGAGGGCAGTTTTATTGGCACGTAAAATCGTCCTGTGTGGTGCAATAGTTCACAAGATAGCGATCATACCCTTATGAGGTAGCTTTTCTTACTCAAACCACATTTAGGCAGGAGTTTATGTAAAAGAAAAACGTGACAATCGAACGGCGGAAATAAAAGCAAAACAGCTCGTGTATTTCAATGCGTGGACGAAATCAACGCGCTGTTTTGAGGGTTGACGGTTATTTGATAAAGTAAGCTTGAAATGAGCATATGAAGGTTGTACCGAAAAAGCAAGAATGACAGGAGCGCGTGGAGCTAAAAATTCTCAGCACAGTATGGATGATCAGTTTCTTTGTATATATGGACAATGCAAGAATAACGCGCCCGTAACTATAGATTACTAGATATCACAGTACGCTTGTCAGTGCATCATAACGTTTTGGAAGTCAGACTGCTTGCTGGAACAAACCCTGAATAATGCTGGATAATGTCTATTCCTAGTGGTGTTGTGCGTGTAAGGGCGCACTAGGAGAACGTGTTCTTTTTATCATGATGCGCAAATCCAGCAGGTAGTCCGAGAAAATTTCACATGAACAATAACCCATAACATAGTGATTTGTGCACTTCTGATGTCAGCAAATCGTTTCCCGGACTATTTGATACACAGTGACCGAATGAACCCAAATCCAATAATTCTTTTTTCAACATTTATATATATGCGCATGTATTTATATATGTATGATATACAAGAGAACGTGAATGACTGACACCCTTATCGTATTTTGTGGTCACCTAGATGTTTAACTATTTTGATACTAGATGTGACGACCAACGCGCCGCTAGATCTGATGGATACGCAAGCCCCAATCATCATAAATTTACCCGATGGAATAACACCCATGGGCGAAAACGCAAGGAACTGTCGGACAACAATAGGGAGTTGAAACATGATTCCCTATGTACACACATGTATACATGTATTGTACAGCATGGCTCATAAGATGATATAACTGCTGTACCAGACTGTATCATTTTTCACATATTTGTTAGCGTTCCCTTGGTTTCCAGTTCAAAGGAGATCAAACTTGAAAAACAACTACCCAGTCCCTTGTATATTGCTATAGAATGGGGTGTTCTTTTTCGTTCACACTGTTTTGACCCAAAACGGGTTACAATCATTCACTATATTGCGTCACTTGCATATAACTTACAATCATTTCATGAAATGAGGCGTGTGCAAAGTGAATTAAGGTGATACAGGACCGCTCCCAACTTACGAATGATTATTGTTGGCCAACTAGTGATACTGTGGTAAATTTTGATAATTGCCGACCTGTCCTTCATCAGCTCATTCTGTACTGTTAAAAAAGGGGAAGCGAGCTACATGAATAGTGTCAGATGGTGTTTTTGATGACTACCGACCTATATTAGACGCTAAATTTCTGCGTCTTTTTGCCAAATAACTAAGTGTTGTGTTGGAACTAATAAGAATATGTTGAACTCACCGCTTGTGTAAAATCTAACATAGGTAGAAGACATGTGGGATGATTAAATGAAGAAGTCAACTTCCGCATAGCTAGTTCTCAGCTTTCACATGGAACCGAATTCCGGGAGGATACAGAATTCAAAGCGAAGAGGATTACCATTTTCGAAAATGTAGTGTCAAATCAAAAGGAAGTGAACAGCAGTTAGAGAAGTAGAAATTAACTCCCACACAATCTGGGGACTGAGCGTTACATATTGTTAGTGAGCAAAAAACGCGACGTTGCTTGCAAAGGGTATTGCTTACAAAATGGCTTCACATGAAATCTCAATGCTTCTGGTTGCTGGTAGGTTGGGAAACGGTGAGCAACTAACAGTACAAAAGCGCACGTATTCTAATGCCCAGTCTTTCGTAAAAGAATTTCCGGAACCAATCCAGATGCAGCGTTTCTGGAAATGCCTTTTCTGAATTTATTCTGTGGCGCACGTGGTTTTATCATAAAATTCACCGACTGAATGATGCCGGAGCCATTTCTGATTATTTCTGGACTCTGACTGTTACATATTTTTGCACATAATTTGTTGCTTCTTTCTATTTATTCTGAAAAAATAGGCGGATTCTTAGCGGAGGAGGGAGAAGAAATGGAAAGGAGGCAGGATGGATGAAGAGAGGGAATACAGGTAAGAAAAGAAGGATAACCAGTTAGAAGTGATGTAGAATGAAGAACGGAAATTTGAGAGGGATGATGCAGAACACAGGTGACAAAGCGGAGGAGAAAGGAAAAGGTGAAAACGAAAGGGGTACGAAAATAGCCGAAGAAAAAGAAAAAAGGAAGGAAGAGAAAAGGGCAAAGGAGATTCAACGGGGGAGGCATGTGAAGGTGTGCACAGTGGAGCTGGTCGCCTAAATCTGAGATAAACACAATTTTATTTAGATCCTCAGTTAGGTGAAAAATCCCACCAAAACAGCCTAAACGTGATATGAGACACGTTTTCTAATCTGGAATCCCCTAAGTTGTCACTTGATGAAACGGTGAGCTGCTTTCGCTTGCAATATATATTCTCACAAGGTAGTTTTAGATGTTATATGTACCTGTGCACCACCAAATGGACGGCCTCTGTTTATGATTGCAGATGAATGGAGGTTTAAAACAGGACAAGCTGTTACTTCGAACTCCCGTGCGCCGTTACTGACCTATTCAATTCCAAGCTTAGAATTTGCAGGTTTTATATTATAGCTATCATGATCACCTCAACTTCAGTCACAGGTAGATATGAGTTAATGCCCAAAGAAATGGATCGCGTTAGTAGCTGTACCTGACTTCACTGCCTCAGGGTGTCATCCTTTCAATCAAAAGCATTGGCCTTTTCTTCAGCCTAATGAATGCAAGAAAGGACTCTTGATTTATCGGAGTGTCTCAGAAGCGAATCAGACAGTAATAGGTCTTTCACTTCTACTATGGGACCGACAGTAATACACAATAGCTTCCACTAAAATTCAGGGCTGTGAGCAGAAGCATTGCAAATGAGAGGTTTAGTGAAGTAACGTATTGTACTCTCCAAAAGTCAAGCACAATCCAGTCTAGCGGCATTCAGAAGCAGAGTGCAAGATCTCGTTATTATGGGACATATCAATATGGGATCCTCACCAGTAAATGTAGAGAGCTTGTTTGCTGGTGCATTATCTTTCACTGCATCACAAAACAAATGTGGTAACAGGTTTGAAATCTTGTAGGTTTAAGTCACCGCAGAGTTATTGGACAGTTAGGTAAGTTTTTAAAGTAAGATAATGCAGTCGGATCATAAAACAACTAAAGTACTTGTGTGTCTGGTTGAATTTGAAAACTCCTCGTTGGAGTTTTGTATTAGTTTGACGTGCGGTAGCTACTTAACGATGTCCTGTATGTAGAGAGCAAGAAGAGCTCCGGATTGGAGTTTTACGAACCACGCAAACATCTACAAGTGAAGTGGAAAGCACAGTTGTTAATGTGAGGAGATTTTGCGTTGTAACTGAAGTCACTCTATGCCGAAAAGCCGCTACTGGGAATCCTGATCACAAAACTCCTGGTGATAGCGAACTCGCAATCTCCGGAAGAGTAGCTTGAACTCCCAGTCTATTGGTAATGAGCGTTTAATCAACGGTGTGCTAAATTTGCCTTGGGCAATGCTGACGATTTCCAGCAAAGAACAAACTGTCATACAGTGCTTCACGTGTTGCCGTATGGGTTGGCCTCACTAACAGGACGAAATCTCAACTGAGATTTTGTCGAAGACTTTCGAATTTCGTGCAGTTTGACTGACCCAAAAGTGAACTAAAAGACTGCCCCTTAAGCACTCTGCTTGAAAATCGAATTTCATTAAGACGCCAATCCGGCGAATGAGCCACCAAGATTTTCTACCTGCATTGTCTATTTCATGACCAACTGTACTATATCTCTGAACCATTTGTTCCGATAATGCTTGTTTTCAAATGACGCTTGACGCTAATAGTGTATCAAGATATCTTTGATTTCTTCCGGTGCGAATATGCAGAAGCTATTCTTGACATCCACCTGTATAATTTTTTGCTGTCTGTAGATCATTTGACATAAATGTATGATTGTCCGATTCCCCCTTGAGTAATGAAGTCATGGACAGTTTGTAAAATGCATTCGATGTGAGTGAAAACAAACACGGTGCACGAAGCTTACATGTGTCGCAATCCCCTGTATATGCGGTACGAGTTTGCTACCATTCTTCTACTTCCAATAATTGAAAGTGTAACCTACCCATTCATTATATTTTTGACCTCAGAGTAATCTTTGCCTGTCAAAATTACGGAACCTCAAGCACAGTTGACATTTTGCAGCTTAATTGAACACAACCATCCATGCTGATTTGTGGTATGAGGATAATTATGGATTTTGCTATGGATTTTGTCCTGCAAGTCAAGTCAACCTATGTCTGAAAGCTGAGAGGCACTGTACAACCGTTTCATCTCCATTGTACATTATCAGGAGTGCGCATCTCACGGAACTTCAGGAAGTCCCGAACCTGTAACCTCCCGGCTAGAAGTTTGAACACAACGTACCTGATGCAGATTGTTAATTGTGCTACATATGTTTCAGCGAGTTAGTTACCCCATATGTATGAAGTGTAGGCCAATATATTCACCTTTTCTGAAAGCTATTATTCTTGTGTAAGTACATGTGAAATTTTTCACCAAACGTATTCGATAATTCGCAGATTAGTATCCTTTTGGACTCGGTCTTATGGAGGGGACTTGAAATAATGATCCTTTTCAATAACTGAGTGGCTGACACCCACATCAGTATCATCACCAGGTTGAATAAATGTTAGCCACGTTAAAAGTCACAAGTCAGTTCTAAAGCATAACGTTGCAGCCACTGAGTAACGATTAGACATTTACACAATCAAGTTGGGATTTGCTTGAATCAGTTTCACAGTATCCCCTCAATAAAAAACCAGCTATGTGCGCGATGTCCTGAAAGAAATTTTCCAATTGAATAACTTCCATTAAGTATGCAATCCATCCTGAAAATCGAATCCAGTTAAATAAATGCAAAAATATTTTAACTGAGTCGATGAAGGTAGAAATAAAAAAGCTACAACGAAAGAGCTGTTCGGTAGGACTGACTGTTCTGAGCACTTTCAACACAGTGAATTATGGCTAATATGTTTCGCATTGCATTTGAGTTGTCATCAAATCTGCAGTAGATATGTCCACACTAGTTATTTTCATCTGTCAGGTGTATTAGTAACAATAAAGTGGTCTGTTCACCCGCCAGTATTACTTATGTGCGTAACATGCTTACTCAATCCATTCATCATCAGAAAGTCACACAGAATGTCTAATAGTTCGTCAACTTGGTTCTCATTCGAAATGACAAACCTGGTTCTGGTGGAGTGGATTATTTTCGGGACAAAGCACATGAGCCTGTGGCCCAGCAGTAAATATCAAGAGTTCACAGAGAAAAAAATAAATACTTAATCCACTAACTACGGAAGGTATTGAAGGTGGTCTTATTCTGCTAACGATTGAAGTCACTTGATTCCATTTATGCTAATTAGTCCCATTCCGATTTTCTCAGTCATGATAAGTCACACAATCAAACATGGGGTTTCGCCTCCACTGGTTGTCGCTCTTACTAGAATGTATTCACACATTCACACATTCTTGAATCCCGTTTGTAGAGCGCACTCAAAGAGAAAGAACCATGCAACAAATATTTTTACTTTAACTGCAAGGGAACAATTTTGCAAATTCTGCTAAAGCGGAACTCTAAACTGACAAAAAATTTCACGTCCAATAAGGGAACTATACCCCCATCTGCTTTTCACAAACATGCCACTAACAACCATTTATAGAGCGACCAGCGCGCTGATCTGCTGCCGAAGATTAAGGAGCTACATTAGTAATCTCGTTTGCTGTGAGGCTGGAGCAGGTTTCCAATTTCGACATCAAACCGCTGTTGGGCAGTAGCAGATCGTTGTAGTGTTGGCGTGGTGATTTCAAGTTTAGCGTGGCGTGAGGTGTTGTGGTGTTCTTAGGCCTGGTGTGGTGTAGTGTGGCGTGGGCTGAATGCCAACATGATCTACCTATCCAGTACATGGATGCTCGTGGATGTTCGTCCATCACCCTGAATGCCTTGCGTCGCATTATGGTGGAATCCGTAGGAAGGTTTCGAGGCGTCAGTTAAAAACTCCATGTGTTACTTATGCGTGGCTGGTGGTTCTCAGCTGGGAGAGGATTCGACTTGTGGAAAAATTGTAATGTGTCACGGAAGCATCTGGGACGCAGAGTACTTGACAGAAAGCTTTCATGTGTGAAGAATATGGCGAATGGGAGATTCAGGTGAGGTTTAGAGGTCTCCAGGTAACACGAACTTAATTTGCGAAAGGATGTATTTGCGATCTGCTGACCTCACCTCCTTAAACACGTCAGTCACTCACAACCTCACCAAAAAACCAGATGGAATTACTTCAGAACTGTTCAGACACAGTGGACGCATTAAAAAAGGGAAAGCATAAACAAACTCCTGGATTTCGCATGGATATATATTTCAAATTCCATTGATAATTTTATTAACAGTTGAAAGGAATTCTAATGAGGTAACCCATATTTGGATTCCTTACCAAAGTAGTAATAAACAAACCGGAGTGGAAGCATTGTTTTACTGTGCGTCCAAAACCCAACGTAACTTAGAGCACTGCTCCTAAAATCAGAAATAATCCTCATGAACCAGAGTCTATAAAACTCGGGAATTTGATATCAAGACCTAGGGAGATAGGTCAGAGGACCAGAAACAGTGTCATTTGTCTAGTTAATGGACCGGACTGTCACAAACTCCATCTTGGACAGATAACGAAAATTATCTGCAGGGAACAAAGACCACAATTCAGCACTCTGAAGGCATGATTTAATACCACTGTTTTCAATAAAAGAAGTACACGAACAGCACAAGTTCAGTCTATAAAACCGTTATGTCTTGGTATATGGAAACACAAGCAAACCAGACATTCCCTAGACACATGGTACTCTGTCACTGACTCAGTCAACTTACATATTGAAGTGGACCCAATCAATGTAACACGAACGGCAAACGATTACTAACAAAATCTCACGTCGTAGGGAGAATGGACGTATAAGTTTACCGAAATCGTTACCTCAGAATACAAAAGTCAAATTTCACATCCAATGAGTATGAGTTCAGACTCGATGGTTATCCTAATGCCGATCAATCAGAGAACTAAATGACCGAGCTTCCAAACGATCAGTTGTAGTCAGAGCTCACTCCCAGTCGCATGCACAACACATATGTTAGCACAAACACAAAATTGTTCAACGTCCCCGTATAAGGCACTAGGACTCACCGCTGAC